TCTAAATCAATAATTCCTAGACCTTTTTAAAATATGGAGAAATTTAGGTGTACATATTCCAGACATATATTTGAGCTTTCTCCTTCAGGTGATCCCAATTATAAGATGCTCTTTGTTCTTCCCTTATGGTTTTGCTGCTGTGTTTTCATGGATATGGGGAGTGACAGAGCAACTGGGTGCTAATGGGATAAATTAAGCAGTCACTGACACTTTGTGAGGTGTAATTTAATTATCTCTCTTTTCCTGAACTTATCAATGCTTCCAGTCAATCCAAAACAGAAGTTAATAATAGTTTTCATTTTTAAAATTATGTTAAAAACATAAAAGAAACGATAACAAAAAAGAAATCTCTTTACTTTTCATGCAACTTTTGTTTGGTTGGTTGGTTGGTTTTTGCTTGGTTGGGTTTTTTCTTTGTTTGTTTGTTTTTTTGTGTGTGTGTGTGCTCTCCTGCTTTGTGGAAAAGTCCTGCAGTATTTAACAGGAATGAAACCCCACTGGGTTATTTGCAAGGATGTAATAAGGTGTACCACAAATTGTCACAGTGAAAACAAATCCACACAGCTTAGGAAAAAAAAAAAAAGGAGAGGACAACAGGATTACCTTTCTAAAAATACTTTAATAGCACAGCTATTAACAGGTTATGACTTAAGATGATTCACAAAACCGACCTGTGAGCCAAAAGGAAACTCCTTCCAAACAGCAGAAGAAATTCCCTGAAGACACTGTCAGCCCAACTGGATAATCATCCCAGCAGGGACGAGGTGAGAGCACCACTACTGAACTCATTCAAATTCTGGGAGAGATCTTTCATTTCATCTTTGGAGAGGGATCAGGGCAGTTTTCCAAAGCAGGAACTCACCGACAACTTCACCCCCGAGTCACCTTTGCCAAACTCCTCCAGGTACACCGGCCTGACCTCCGTGTGTTTCCCTCGCCCTGGAATGAAATCGCTTGGAATTGCCAGACAGCACCTGGTAAATGGGCCACCTCCTCCCCCTGAAAGATGAGAAACTTGCAGAGTAAAGCGTTTTAATAAAATTTTGGCCCTTGGGGCTTTTGGTCCCCGTGCAGCCGGCTGGATGTTTATCAGATTTATAGATGTCATCGCTACGAGAAGGAAAAAAAAGCTTTTAATTATTTGGCATTTTTCCCTTAAATTCAGAGAAAGCAACATCTCGATGACGCACGGCAGAAAAGACCTGAATCCTACCCCGTGCCAAAACCCCCAGCCTTGTTCCCTCTAAAAGCTGTAACAGATCAATAAGCAGGTGGTAGGAACAAGGGCCAGCGCTGCTGCACAGAATGGGAAGGTTTGGAAAAGCTCAAATTCCTCGGAAGAAAAACGTCCCGGGAGAACATGAAACACTATTATCGTATGAATAATACACTTATTGATTAAGCAGTATTTCTTCAGCTCCAAAATGCAAAACCAGCAAGATGCAGCCCGCAAAGCAAAGCAGCCACATGAGTTTTATCTCACCGTAATTTTTATGGTTGCTGCCCCTTGGAATACTCTGCCTGTTTTATTTTGACACGTGTTTATATATATTTCTATTCTTATTTACTTCCATGAGGCTCATGCTGAAGGTAAATATGATTTGTACCAAAAATTACTGCTAATTTTGCACAACGGTTTTTGAAGTGTGATCTGTGATTCTTGCAGGATTAACTTGCTCTTCCTTCCTTCCCCCTTCCAAAAAAAAAAAAAACCCACCCAGCAAGACCCAGTGTGTTGTACATGCAGCTGTAGTCAGAGGATTTTGCAGACAACAAGCAGACAGCTGTATTCTGTTATCACTATGCTTTTATGCCCATTCTCCTAAGGGATTTTCTTTGGAGTCCACAGAAATAAATGATTATCAATGCAGCAAAAGATCAAGGAAACTGCTCTGATAGCAGTTGGGTGCGGTAAAACCCTGAAGTTTATGGAGGCTCAGGTGGCCCCTCAGCCCTTTTAAAGCTTTTTTTAGCAGGGCCACTGGTGCAGAACTACATTTCTGAACAGGCAGCTGGGTTGCCAAGCCCTTGTTAAAATGAATTGTTGGTTAAAGGCTCTATCAAGAAAATCCTCTTTATAACTCCTTTTGCAAAGCCAACCACCACATAAAAGCTGCTGTCGCTTCGCAAATAAAAAGCAAACCCCTCTCAGGTACAGTTGTATCCTGGACTGCTGTATCAAAGCGCTTTTTTTTTTTTTTTGGGTGAATCTCCAATCTCAGTCTGTAGTTCGAGGTGTTTTGAAGAGAATTAGTGGCTTTAGTGACAGTGAGTTGACGAGTTTTATTTTATTTATTTCTGTGTGTGGTGTGCTGGGCCACTGAGTGGCTACGAAGGAGGGCACAGACCTGCCAGAAAATCACAAATTACTAAGGCTAGAAAAGTTCATTGAGATCACTGAGTCCAACCGTGAAACCACCACTGCCAAGCTCCTCAGTAAACCCTGTCCCCAGGTCCCACATCCACACTTTTTTTGAGCATTTCCAGGGATGAGGATTCCACCGCTGCCCTGGGCAGCCTGTTACAACGCTTCACCGCGCCTCCAGCGAAGAAATTATTCCTAATATCCAACCTAAAGCTCCAGTGGTGCAACCTGAGGCCATTTCCCGTCGTCCTACCCCTCGTTATTTGGGAGCAGAGCCCGATCCCCACGCCCACCTGGCTACACCAGAGAGTTACAGAGCGATAAGGTCCCTCCTGGTGCCTCCTTTCTGCAGAGTAAACCCCCCCCCCACCCCAGCTCGCTCAGCCGCTCCTGGGGGTTCCCCAGATAGGGTCTGGACGGAGGAAGGTGGGAACAGGGAACATCCCCCTGGAGCGGCTCCCCCAGCGGCGGCCGCGGCCGCGCCCTGAGGCGGGAGGCGCTGAGGCTGCAAGGTGGGCGGGGCCCACCCGGGCCGTCCCCTCCGCCCATTGGCGGACGGGTGAAGGAGGGGCGGGACCCCGGGCCGCGGTTCACCCTGGGAGTTGTAGTCCGCAGCCGCTTGGCGGCTGGGGCAGCATCATCGGGCGAGGACTACAAGGGGGAGGGGGAGAGGGGAGGGTCACGTGGCGCGGGGTGGGCGGGGCCGCGGGGTGGTCACGTGATGTTTGGGTGCCGGCGGTGACGGGCGCGCGGCGGCAGGTGAGGGGCGCGCGCCGGGCCCGCCGAGGGGACAGGGGGACAGACGGACGGACGGACAGACAGACAGACAGACAGACAGGGCTGGGCTGGGCTGGGCTGGGCTGGCACTGCGGCTGTGCGACACGGGGACACAGCTGGCTGTGTGACATGGAGACACGGGCACAGGGCTCGCCTGGCACAGGGAGTGTGTGTGTGTGTGTGGGACCGGGGGACATGGGGACAGGGCTGGGCTGGCACTGGGGGTGTGTGACATTGAGAAGATAGGTTCGTGTGTGACCTGGGGACATGGGGACAAGGCTGGCCTGGGACTGAAGGTGTGACATGGGGACAGGTGTGTGTGTGTGGCATGGGGACAGGTGTGTGTCTGTGATCTGGGGACATGGGGACAGGGCTGGGCTGGCACAGGAACAGGGGGGTGTGTGTGTGGGACATGGGGACGTGGGGACAGGGCTGGCCTGGCACTGGGGGTGTGTGACATGGGAACAGGTTTGTGTGTGTGACATGGGGACAGGTGTGTGTGACATGGGGACAGGTGTGTGTGTGACATGGGGACAGGTCTGTGTGGCATGGTGTTGTGAGGACAGGGCTGGCACAGAGGGGATGTGTCTGTGTGGTGACATGGGGACAGGGCTGGCATAGATTGTGTCTGGCACAGGGGCAGGTGTGTGTGTATGTGACATGGGGACAGGGCTGGCACTGGGGGTGTGTGACATGGGGACACAGGGTGGGGGTGTGTGTGGCAATCAGGGACTGACTGTGCCTGCCCTTGCCCAGGCCTGCGTGTGTGACAGTAATTTGGGGCCTTGCCCAGCGCTGTGAGCAGGGAGGGACACCCATGCCAAGGGTGCTGTGTCCCACAGCTGTGTCCCATGTCACTGCTGACCAGGTGAAGGTGGGATGTCCCTGCACCCACTTTGCCACTGTCCCACACTTGTTCCACACAATTATTTATTATCCTGATTTATCAACCTCCAGCGTGACAACAATGCTGGGAACTGTTCTGTGACAGCTCACAGGTTATGGCACAGTTTGAACCTCACAGAGGGTATAATGATGCTTATTTACTATTTTTTCCCACTTTTCAGGCTGAGTCAGGAAGTTTGAGGCAGTGGGATGGATGTGGAAGTACAAGGAGAGGAAGTAAAATCGCTTTTAAAAGTACAAAGCAGCGCTTTCTGCGGCGGTCCTCGACTGCAGAAACTTCTTTTTCTTTTTCTTTTTTTTTTTTTTTTTTGTTGCTTTTGTACTTGAAAAACTGTTTGTGGCTGGAAGCTTTTCATAAAAGCTCCCCTGAGCTGCGTGGTACAATTAACCTCCGGCATCTGGCACCGGGGTGGACTTTTCCAGGGAAAAACCTCCTGTTCCCACAGAACTCAGTGCCTTTGTGTGCAAATCAAAAAAAGCAGAGGGCTTGGGAAACCTGAAAGCACGTTTCATTCTGCCACCAGCGTAGTGCAAACGTGCTGCAAAACCTCTCTGCTTGTTTGCATTTGGGGTTTTCTGTGACACTTGGAGCTCGAGGTGGATCCTCGTGTCTGGAAGTGCTGTGGGAACAAGAGGCTGTTTGTTTGCAAACCCCGGGGTGAGGCGAGCGTGGGGTGGTGGCCTCAAGGGTTGCTTTATGCTTCATCCTGCTGAATCCTTGAATTTTTACTGCTTCTGTGGTGTGGGTTGGGAAGGATTGACTAAATTATGGAGGTTCCCCTCACCCCATTTTTTTTTTTTTTGTTGCTATTCTGTAGCAATAAGGTTTATATTTTATCCAGCATTTATCCCCTTTTCCAGGCTGGTATTTTTCCCTTTGCAGGGGGGCTGGGAACATTCAGTGCTCCATCCTACCTTGGTGGTCCCTGTGTTGCTGTGGTCCAGGTGCCCTTATGAGTCTTTAAATCACAGTGACTTGGGCCAGCTGCTCTCTGACCCCTCACTGCCTTCCTGCCCCACCATCCTCACCAGCTGTGACGTCCTTTTCCGTCTCATCTCAGCTCCAGGTTGGATTCTGGACTTTTCCTAGGGTGCTAATCCTGGAGTCACAGAATGGTTTGGGTTGGAAGGGGCCTCAAAGACCACCCAGTTCCAACTCCCTGCCCTGGGCAGGGACAATTTCCACTATTCCAGGTCACTCCAAGCCCTGTTCAACCTGGCCTTGGACAATTCCAGGGATGGGGCAGCCACAGCTTCTCTGGGCAACCTGTGCCAGGGCCTCACCATCCCCACAGGGAAGATTTTTTTCCTAATATCTAATGTAAATCTATCCTCCTTCAGCTTAAAGCCACTCCCCCTTCTCCTACCACTCCATGCCCTTGTGAAAGTTCCCTCTCCATGGTGTTGAGGCAGATGGTTCAGGTCTTTAAATCCTCCATGACTCAGGGCAGGTGCTGTCTGACTACTCCTTGTTTCATTCCTGCACCACTGTCTTCACCAGCTACGACATCCTTTTCCATCTTGTCTCATCTCCAAGTTGGTCTTTGGACTTTTTCCAGGGTGCTAAATGTGCTACTTCCCACTTTCCAGTGATCAGCCAAGCAAGAAATAACCCCTCTTGCTCTCTCCAAAGCCTTCCACCTTGTTTATTAATAATTAAGACTTAGCCCAACCACCACTGAAGCAACTTTGATGGACATGGGAGAGGCTGAGCAGTGCAGCCACGTGTCCTGCTTCCATCCAGGCTCCTGATCCAGATCTCCATCCCTGTTTCCTCCTGACTTGACTCACAGGGTGGGGAGGCCCTGGCACAGGTTCCCCAGAGAAGCTGTGGCTGCCCCATCCCTGGAAGTGTCCAGGGCCCGGTTGGATGGGGCTTGGAGCAACCTGGGCTAGTGGAAGGTGTCACTTCCCATGGCAGGGAGTTGGAACTAAAGATCCTGAAGGTCCCTTCCAACCCAAACCATTCTGTGATTCTATGATTGCACGTTATTTGGCTGAGATTCCTGCAGAAACTAGAACAGAGATTTCAACATCAAAGTCCTTTATTCCCACCCTCTCTTGTCCAGGAAACCTCATTCCTTTTCTCACAACTCTCTTGATTTCATTCTTTTTGTTTTTAAATTAAAAGTATTTTAAACCTTTCATCATTTACTCCTCCTCATGCACCTCACAGATGTGACCAGGTCTCCCAGCCTGCTCTGGGCCTGGAGAATCTTTTCTGGGAGAGGAGGGGAAATAATGTGTCTTGATAAATCTGCACATTGATATTACAACACGTCAGATCTAATTAAAAAAGAAAGAAGGAGTCAAGCTGAAAATGAATGAGTCTGTGCTTCCCCTTTGCTTATAAATATATATACCAAATGGTATTTTGAATTGTTGGTTCTTCTGGGATTTCAGGGATTTTTAAATAGCAAGTGTGAAAGGGTAAATAATATCAAGATAAAAATAATACTTTCGATTCCCTGCCTGTGCCACGAACACATTCTGCTCGATGGAAATGGAATGAACTGTCGAAAAAAAAAAACAACTTAATTTACTTTTCCCATCTTTGTTATCCTCCTTCCCACACTTCAGCTGGTCTGGGAAGCGGAGGGGGCTGGTGGATTTCAATGGACCTTCTGAGAGTTGCTGGTGCTGCAGGGGACCATGGAAATCCATGATCCCAGAGGGTTCTGGGTGGGCAGGAGGAGCCTCTGGGCATGT